CTCTGTGTGGTGTGTGTGTGTGTGTGTGTGTGTGTGTGTGTGTGTGTGTGTGTGAGAGAGAGAGAGAGAGAGAGAGAGAGAGAGAGAGAGAGAGAGAGAGAGTGCTGATATGGAGTTTCTCTAGAGCCATTATGCAAAAGGGAATGGCCTTCACCACTCCGTTTAGAAAATAAAACTAAAAATTATATTGTTTTTTTTTTTTTTAAATACTCTGGTAGTATCATGACGAGGAGGGATTGCTAATTGGCATTTTCAGTTAATTTTCTGTCTTTTCTTTTTTGTGTTCATGAACTCGTCTCTTCGGGGTGTTCTGAAGGAACAAGACTCCGTTTGTTGATGATTTTGGTATTCTGAGAAGTTTGAGCAGTAGACGTTACTTTAAAAAAAAAAAAAAAAAAAAAAGAGGTGGTGGAAAAATCTACTTGCTACTAGTTGCTAGTGTCTTTTTGTTTGTTTGTTCCGTCTTTTTTTTTTTCACATTTAGCGAGTGTAGGAGCGGAGAGTAGGCCTTCATCGAAATGGAATGTAGTCATTGATCCTTAGTCAGAGCAGCACTATATTCGCTCCCTAATCTGTCGTCATCCTCTCTCTCTCTCTCTCTCTCTCTCTCTCTATCTATCTATCTATCTATCTATCTATCTATCTCTATCTATCTATCTATCTATCTCTATCTCTCTGTGGTCTGCTTGAGAGGCTTCTATCCTCGGCATTATCCCCCTCCATCTGCATCTCCATCTCCGTTCTCCATCACGATCTCCATATTCATCTCCTCTCTCTCTCTCTCTCTCTCTCTCTCTCTCTCTCTCTCTCTCTCTCTCTCCTCTCTTCGTCTCCACTCTCAATTCCATTTTCTTCCACTCCCATCTCCGCCTCCGTCTTCATCTTCACCATCTCTCTTTCCTCTTCATCTCCATTCCCCACTCCGTATCCATTTCTCCTTCTACATCTCCATCTCCACTACTCTTACCTATGTCTCCATCCTTCTTCATCTCCATCTCCATCTCCTTCCCCGTATTCCTATCTCAATCTCCACCTCCTCACTCCATCTGGTTCTTCTTACTCCCATCTCCATCTCGTTCTGCTTACTCCCATCTCCTCTCGTTCTGCTTACTCCCATCTCTATGTCCTTCTCCTGATTCCCATCTCTATCTTCTTCCCCGTCCTGGAATCTACTCCTTTCTCCATCTGCATCTTGATCGTATCTCTCCTCTTCGTCTGCCGATTTCATTTCCGTCTCTTCTTCTCTATCTCCTTCCTCTCATCTCCATCTCCTTCTCCCCTCGACGGCGGAGTTGCTAACGGCAGAGTTCACAGCAGAACCAACGGCAGAGCTAACGGCAGAGCTATCGGAAGAGTTAAAGGCGGCATATAGTAATCTGCTCAGCTAACCGTACGCTGAAGTGCGAAAGGGGGGGTCATCCTGCCAACCACCCACCCACCCACCTACCCCAGAGCTAACGACAGAGTTAACAGCAGAATCAAGGGCAGAGTTAACAGCAGAATCAACGGCAGAGCTAACGGCAGAGTTAAGAGCAGAATCAAGGGCAGAGCTAACGGCAGAGTTAAGAGCAGAATCAAGGGCAGAGCTAACGGCAGAGTTAANGGCAGAGTTAAGAGCAGAATCAAGGGCAGAGCTAACGGCAGAGTTAAGAGCAGAATCAAGGGCAGAGCTAACGGCAGAGTTAAGAGCAGAATCAACGGCAGAGGTAACGGCAGAGTTAACAGCAGAATCAACGACAGATCTAACGGCAGAGGTAACGGCAGAATCAGCGGCGGAGTTAAGAGCAGAATCAACGGTAGAGGTAGCGGCAGACGAACGGCAGCGTTAACAGCAGAATTAACGGCAGAGTAACGGCAGAATCAACGGGGGAGAGGTAACGGCAGACTAACGGCAGAGTTTACAGGAGAACTAACGGCAGAGAGTCAACAGCGTAATTAACGGCAGAGCTAACGGCAGAGTTAACTTCAGAGTTAACGGCGGCATATAGTAACCTGCTCAAGGGGGCGGTCATCCTCCTGCCAAATACCCATCAACCCAGAGCTCGTGCCCATGCCACGCAAATGGGATGGCGGGAAGGGAACTCCCTTCCCGCGCAAATGGGATAGGCAACACTTGGCGAGAAGGGAACTCCCCGGAAGTTTGTCCACGTGGAAGAGCGGAGCAGCAGCAGCAGCAGCAGCAGCAGCAGAGGGAGAAGGGGGAGGAGAGGGAGGAGAGGGAGGGGGGGTAGGAGGGGGAGGAGGGGGAGTAGGGGAAGTAGGTAGAGGTAAGGGAGGAGTAGCAGCAGCAGCAGTTGGTATGTTGAAGACCACGTGGGCTACTGTCCCAACCCCGATCGGTCCCTTCAGCGCCGTGGTTGCGGAAGACGGCGCCGTGCTGGCCTCAGGCTGCGGAAGAACACGTGGGCTACTGTCCCGACCCCGATCGGTCCCTTCAGCAGAGGGAGAAGCGGGAGGAGAGGGAGGAGAGGGAGGAGAGGGAGGAGGGGAAGTAGGGGAAGTAGGTAGAGGTAAGGGAGGAGTAGCAGCAGCAGCAGTTGGTATGTTGAAGAACACGTGGGCTACTGTCCCGACCCCGATCGGTCCCTTCAGCGCCGTGATTGCGGAAGACGGTGCCGTGCTGGCCTCTGGCTGGACAGATAGGATCGAACATCTGCTGGTCCACGTGTCGCCATCGCTGTTGGGATCGGGATCCTCTCCTCAAAAGGTCCCCGACCTCGGTCCCGTCACTCAGGCCGTCCTTGATTACCACGCGGGCGATCTGCATGCCGTTGACGTCATCGCCGTGAGGCAGAAGTGTGGGGCAAGTGGAAAGTTCGTGGAACATGCGTGGGACGTGTTGCGGAAGGTTCCGCCGGGCCGCCAAGTCAGCTACAGCGAGTATGCCGCGCTGGCCGGCCGGCCGAAAGCCGTGCGCGCGGCCGCTTCCGCCTGCGCGCGCAACGCCGCCGCGCTGTTCGTGCCATGCCACAGGGTCGTGCGCAGCGATGGCGCGCCGGGGGAGTTCGGATGGGGAGCGCAAGTGAAGCGCTGGCTGCTAGCGCACGAAGCGCGCCGAGGGGGGGGGATGATTGGTCGTCTACTGCTCCGCCCCTCTCCGCCTTTGAGAAGGGAGAAGGGAAATGAAGATGATGATGATGGATGGGGAAAAGAACCGAAAAATACAAAAGAAAATGCAAAAGAAAATGCAAAAGAAATTCCAAAAAAAAAACAAAAAACTGAAAAAACGGGGGATGTATAGATGGATTATGTTAACGATACGATATGATTGTGGGAGGAGGAGGGGGGGGAAGGAGGGGGGGGGAGGAGAAAGGAGGAGAGAGGGAGAGGATTGTGGGAGGATCTCGAGAAAAGGAGAGGCGAGGGGAAGGTGGGGGAGGGTTATAGGGGAAGAGAAGGTTGAGCTGCGTTTGGAAAAAATGGCCGCGTGGCAAGAAGCCAAATTATCGGGATGACCACGTGGCAAGAAGCCAAATGATGTGGATGGCCACGTGGCAATCAGCCTAATTATCGGGATGGCCTCGTGGCAATCAGCCAAATTATCGGCATGGTCACGTGCCAAATTTGTCTTCTTTTTTTTTTTCTTTTTTTTTCAGACTGTCACTCGGATGTCTCCGGCATATGGATACGCCGGCCGGGTGAACTCATCACCCGCGGAATAATGTATACTTTAACCAGTTGCAGTCCTTGGGTTTAACAAAGACATTGTCGTATTTTTTTTTGGGTCGGCGTCATGTATTGTTTGGTAGCGCTTCCAGTCTTCCCCGGAACACAACGCACCCTCATTTTGACTGTATCGGGCCGGAAACCTGCCTTGTATACGCTCATTTCCAGGGTGCGTTATGTTCGGGCGAAGACGATAGGGTAATTTGCTACCCGTCCTCTACCGAAGAACATAAAGCCCGGTTATTATAATTGTATTCGTATCTGGCGCTCATCAGCCAGCAACAGCTACCCTGGCCCCCCCAACGAACACAACGCATCCTGATAACGAATGTATACAAGCTATTTTTCGGGTCCGGTGCAGGCAAAATGAGGGTGCGTTGTGTTCGAGGGAAGACGGTAGCGTCTTGTGCACCCAATGAATGCATGCCACGTCAGCGCTCTAAGCTGTGTGTTCATCCCGAAGCTATTTTTCGGGTCCGGTGCAGGCAAAATGAGGGTGCGTTGTGTTCGAGGTAAGACGTTAGCGTCTTGTGCACCCAATGAATGCATGCCACGTCAGCGCTCTACGCTGTGTGTTCATCCCGGGTTGATTGGCCGTTTTTTTTCTCCTTGGTTGATTGGCTACTACGTAGTTCTCTTCCAGCTCTCAGCTTGATGATGATTACTAATTAGTCAATGTCAATCAAGCAGTCCGTGTCAATCAACGGCTGTCGTCAACGTGTCAATCAACGGCAGTGGTCACTCAGGTACCGCCACGTCAGCCGGCATTAGTGAGTGCCGCGTCAGCAAACACTAGTAGTGTGAACCCGGCATTGGTTAGTGCCACGTCAGCCGGCATTAGTGAGTGCCACGTCAGCAAACACTAGTGAGTGTGAACCCGGCATTGGTTAGTGCCACGTCAGCCGTCATTAGTGAGTGCCACGTCAGCAAACACTAGTGAGTGCCACGTCAGCCGGCATTCCGTCTTCGACGAAATAGAAGGCCCGCTCACGCCCGGTCATTATAGCTGTATCTGGACTGAACCGTGTACCAAATACGTCTACAATGACCGGGCGTTCTATTCGGGTTAAGCCGGTAGGTAGTGGCACGTGAACTCGGCATTGGTTAGTGCCACGTAAGCCGACATTAGTGAGTGCCACGTCAGCCGGCATTAGTGAGTGCCACGTCAGCCGGCATTCCGTCTTCGACCAAATAGAACGCCCGCTCACGCCCGGTCATTATAGCTGTATCTGGATTGAACCGTGCACCAAATACGGCTACAATGACCGGGCGTCCTATTCGGGTTAAGCCGGTAGGTAGTGGCAGGTGAACCCGGCATTGGTTAGTGCCACGCAAGCCGACATTACTGAGTGCCACGTCAGCCGGCATTAGTGAGTGCCACGTCAGCCGGCATTCCGTCTTCACCGAATAGAATGCCCGATTAGCATAGCTGTATCTGGACTGAAAAGTGCGCCAAAACATACGCCTGCAATGACCGGGCGTTCTATTCGGGCGAAGACGGTAGTTAGTGCCACACGTCAACCCGGCATTGGTTAGTGCCACCTCAGCCGGTCTTGGGACATACTCAGATTAGGACTCTTTCTGGTAAGCTGTGGACGTGATTGCGGTGAGGTTCGTCCGCGTCTGGTCGCAATTGCAGTCGGATACATTTAGGAAAGTGTTAGCGTGAGTATGCCCTTTGTCGGTGCCGCATCAGCCCGTCAGCCCGCATTAGCTGGTCCCACGTCAGCTGGGACTAGTCGGTCCCACATGTCCGGTAAGCTGTGGACGTGATTGCCGTCAGATCCGTCCAGCTCTGGCCGTAATTGCAGTCAGATACATTTACGAAAGTGCTAGTGTGAGTCTGTCCCTCGTCGGTGCCACGTAAGCCTGCAGTAGTTGGTCCCACGTCAGCTGGGACTACAGTCTTCACCCGAATACAACGTACGGTCATTATCACTGTGTCTAGACGCAAAGTTGCCCCAAATACAGCTATAAAAGTTGGCCCCAATACAGCTATAATGATGGTACGTTGTATTCGGCTGAAGACTGTAGTCGGACGGTCCCATATTGCCTTCAGATCCGTCCAGCTCTGGCCGTAATTGCAGTCAGATAGATTTACGAAAGTGCTAGTGTGCGTCTGCCCCTCGTGGGTGCCACGTAAGCCCCCATTAGTCGGTCGCACGTCAGCTGGGACAAGTCGGACGGTCCCATATATCTGGCATTCGTTGGTCCCACGTCAAACCTGCATTTCCCCATCAGCCCATGTCACCGTCAGGCTATGGATCGGTCTGTCCATGTCAGCCCCGCAGTTTGTTTGTTTTTTTCCCTCTTTTTTCTGAAGGGAGATAGCCTTGAGAAATTACCATCGAACTGACTGGCCCCTACCTTCTTCCCCCGAATACAACGTAGGGTCATCAAAGCTGTATCTAGACGGAAACATACCCCAAATACAGCTATAATGACCCTACGTTGTATTCGGGTTAAGAAGGTAGGTGATTCAGAATTGAAGTACTTCAGTCATCTGCTTCCAGTGGAGTTCGAACCTAACCTGGGGTCAAGTCCCACTTACGCCAATCCTTGATGGCTGACCGCAGATGACGAAGATCGACGGCCAGAAATGAAGCAAGGGACCAAGTCCCAGTTACCCCAATCCTTGATTGCTGACAGCAGATTACAAAGATCGACGGCCAGAAATGAACCACGGAGCCAAGTGGGACTTGGCCCCGGGTCTGTATTGCAACAGTTGGGGGGTGTACCAACTGAGCTAGGCCAGTTGGTACTATAGCTCAGTTGGTACTCGTTCTCACCCCTGCAGTTCTCCACTCATCTGTGCCAGCCCTGTAGATTGATCCTTTCTTTCTTTCTGGTTTTTTTTTTCCCCTTCTTCTTTTTCTTTTGGAGAGTTGTTGAAATGCCCCTGAAAGTTTGGGTATTTCGTCAGATACCCCTAAAAGTCATGGGCATGGCGAAATGCCCCACTGACAGTAGTGAAACATTGCAGAATACCCCACTCCCCAGTTGGACCTGTCATCTTTTTTGCGTATTCCCCTACTGGCCTCTGGGCAACTTGTATATGGACTCTGCATATGGCAAAAGAAATTCACGGCCCCCTGCAGCCCAAAAGAAATCCACAGCCCGCTGTAGCCCATGGCCGGGGCACACGACGAAGTTGTGAATGCATGGGGTGGGGGCCGATGCAGAAGTTTGGGGCATTTCAGCATACCCCTGTGTTTTAGGGGTATCTAACAACATACCCAAACTTTTTGGGGTATTTCAACAAATTTTCCCTTTTCTTTTCCTTCTAAACAGCGCGACCGCCTTGAGATATTATCGTTGAACTGGCTGGCCCCAAGAGATTCAGAAGTGGTGGGGAAGGCCCGACTTCTGAGATCCGAGCTTTGCGATGATCTGCTTCCACTGTAGTTCAAACTCAGGTTTGTACTTGAACAGTTCAAAATGGTGTACCAACTGAGCTTAGGCCAATTTGGTTGATCCGCCCTTTAATCCTATAGTGTGACCTGTCCTTTCAACCCTTTTTTTATGATCTTCACTCTATGGTTTGGTGTCAAGTTTGGTGAAAATAACCTTTGGGTTTTGTTATAAATTACATGAAAAGTTGTCTGAAATTGAGGTTTTCGTTAATCACCTCTCTCTTCAAGTTGAACCGTCCTTTAATCGCCATGGTTTGAACCGTTCCACTGGACTTCGAACTCACATATGTCATGTAGACCACTGCCTTTCAACATCACTCCTTTGGGTCGATTTGTCCACGTCAGCCCAGCAGTTCGCTATCTGTCTTTTTTTTTATGTTTGGGGGGGAGAGAGGAACTGTAGTCGGGGCACACTTTTAGTTTGAAATAGGCAATAAAAGACAATAGTGACATCGATGTCAAGATCTGAGCTTGGAAATGTACAAGTTTAGCAGAGGTTTGAAACTGCACCAGTCATAGTGGGTGCTTAGGAGACTCATCCCACTATGACTTTTTGTGCTTCGCACCTGCTGATTAAACTCTAGTTTGAACTTGGATGCAATGGATCCGATATCTCATTGGATCTGATTAAACTGCAGTTTTAACCTTAGATCAAAAGGTGGGGTGTCTCATCAACATAAAAATTCCCACAAGAAATGAAAGTTGAAAAAATATTCCATAAAAAATATTTTTTTCATATTTGTAAATTATCATTCCAATATTCATCGGATTTCAAATTTTCAGTTTTATTTGATAAGTTCCGTCTAAGTATGAGCGTTCCCTTCCAACTACACCTATTATGAGCGTTCCCTTCCAACTACACCTATTTTTTCAAGATGGAATGAAAGTTTGAACGAGTTTATGAAATATTTTAATTAAACTTTTATTATACTACGATAAATATATTTTAATTTAGATTGTATCAACTTATTTATGACTAAAATCTTTACTTAGAATGA